CCGCCCCCCTTGCCACCCTGTTTCGCCCCGTAGGGCCCGCCTTCCTACCCAAAGACAGCCGTCCTCTACCTTCACCGCCAGGGACGGACTGCACATGGCCGTCCCGTCCAATCCAGGGCTCTTGGCAGTCCCCCCACGGGACCCTGCCGAACCCACGGACGGTTGGGAACACTGCCAGCATCTCCCCCTACAAAATTTCTAGCTGTATTGCTTTATGGTAAAATTTAGCCACTTAGGTTTTAAAATGTAGGAATTGAATGCGTTCTGTGGCACTGATACATGTAATGGCAATTGTGAAATATATATCAGAAACAAGTATAGCGGATTCACAGGTACGGAGGTTGTACTTCTCACGGCAGTCTAAACCGGGATAGTATCGTCATCAGCCGTCGTCATCACATAGTTGTTTGTAATATCAAGGAGCTCGCAATGGCAAGGGAAATGTACGGGAGGAGGGGTACGTATCTAAAGCCTGGTCCTGTCCTGAACTTCCCTAAAACCTCACCATCAAACACCTACTCCACCAGACACCTACTCCACCAGACACCTACTCCACCGAACACCATGATTGGAAAAAAATTTGGTTTGTGAAAGCCAATTTCAGAGTTTTTTAGTACGAAGTTTGTTAACTTGGATCTAATGCTATGTTTAGCATATTTGAGCAAACATGCGATCCCGATTTCGGGGGTCCTCGCCACATCCGTACCCGTTGGAATGACGATCCTGAACGAACACCTCGTAAGAATTCTTGCTCACAGAGAGAGGAACAATGAACTGGAACGGCTGCGTCTCGAACAGTGATCCCAAGCGGCCAGTCTGGACCATAGTCCGGACTACAGGTCGGCAGTCCGGTCAGTCCGGCCTTGGTTTTGAAAAGCCTGGACTAGTCCGGTCGAAATTCTCTGCGGCCGCCAAAGCCCGGCGGCGCCCAGGAAACCGCCGGGTCGAGTCTTGGCACAACCTAGGTTAGAGCCACTAGATGCCTACGAAAAGCCGCTAGATGCTTAGGTAATCTGAAGATACCCAGGGACAGCCTGCAGGCTTTCCACTTTTAATCACTCGGAACAAGATATCAAGAGCAACATGCGCCTGACGCTATAGATCTCACTTAAGGTAAATGTATGACATCCAGCGATGAACCCCCGCTGTACCCAAATATGCTGTCCTACCTCAAGACACTATACTATTCTTCACACAACTCCCTGGCCGCCCCGGGTGGATATGTATTGTCCGCATGAAATAGTTAGTCCTGTTGAATAACGAATTATTTCTTAGTAATGAAACACACGCGATCCTTTGAAAGATCGGCCTGCTGGTGACCCAGGCCGGGCCCGGCTTTGGTTTGGAAAAGCCGCTTTCCCACAGTCCGGCCCGGCCGTACTCAAAGCCGGACGGACTGGCCGCCTGGGATCACTGGTCTCGAACGGCTGCAACTTGAACGGCTGCGACTCGAAGGGCTCCAACGAACACAATTGTCCGGTCCGACCGCCCAGCCTGCTTCCAGAGAAACCCCTCTTGCCCGCAAGCGCGGTGCAGCCAAGAGGGAGGAGTAATGGGGATTCCGGGGGCGGGAGGCAGCGGTTGTGTTTGCGGGGGGGGCAGTGTTCCCAACCGTCCCGGGCAGGGTGGGTAATGACGGCAGGGTATGGCGTCCATCTTTGATAAAGACCGCCGTCCGAGGGGTTGACGCCCGGGCCCGGGAGTCTTAATACAAATGGCATCTTCCGGCCGTCCCGGGTAGTGGTTAGGACGGACCACAGGACGGGCGTCCGTCTAGGGCAGAGTTCCAGAAACCGGTGTCCGTCCCGTCCGAAGCCAAGGACGGCCGGACTGGACGCTTGGGAACACTGCCCGGGAGGGTGGGAAGAGTGGCGATTTGGGGGAGGCGGGGGGAGGCGGGGGGAGGCTAAGTGATTATTGGAGCGGGGAGAAGGGATAGGTGGCGGTATAGACCGCGAGTTGGTTTGTTCTTCTAATTATAAATTATTACCAACTTTTCTTATGGTGCCTTAAGTTGCATTATGGTTTGTGACCTTGGTGATCGGTTGGCTTTTTTAATTTCTAGAAATTTGTAAAACAGTGTACTCGAGTATAGGCGTGGGTGACCGGAGAGCCAGGGATTCCAGAGGCCTGACCGTTCTTGCCCTCATAGGAAATAAAAGAATGAGTCTGGCATGAGAATCGCACGAACAAGCAAGAAGCTTTGACACCTCTAACCCCTGGCTGTCCAGTCACCCACGTCCATACCCGAATACAAGTACTAGTACATCTATATAATACTGAACGCTTATCTCAAAAGTGCGAACCGATCATCGGATAAGCGATCTAATCTGATGCCGGCGGGGCGGAAGGGGGATGGAGTGGAGGGCGCGGGAAGGAGGAAAAAGAATCAACCTATATCCATGACTTATCCAGTAAAGGTGGAAAATGCTTCTCAGAAGATCCACCCAGCTAAGTAGTCTCGGACCAAAAAGATAAAAAATTGCCAAATTCCTCGAGGTCTCGAGGCGCCTACCGGTATGCTAGTACCCAGGTACTGGACAAGGGTAAGCTGGGGCTACTGCTTTTGTGACATTAAGGAGCTGTTTTTCCCGGGCCCATTGTATTGGTCCCCATACCCATTCACCTAAGTTAATTGCAAAATTTCTAAAATGGACCCCTATTCACATGTGCCATCTCTAGCCCGTGTGAGCCCTCAACGAGGCGCTAAGAGTTCAAAGTCGCTTTATTGTGGAAAATAGCAGTATTTTGAGTGGTAGACAACGCCGTGCCTCGTTGAGGGCGCCGTCTCGCTGAGGGCTCACACCGGCTACCATAGTCTAATGAATAGGATACAAGTCAGATGTTGTCGAATAATTCAGATGGGCGATAAATCTGGAATGCAATTTGTTCATTAGTCTTGATTTCATATCTCAATCCATGGATCGGTTGCAACAAGTGATCCAAACAAGGGTTTACGCCAGTGGTTTTGCGGAATCGAATTCACTTAAATTTATGATAATATGGTATGATAGGAGGCAATCGACCGGAGGTTCCCGAATCCGCTATCAGATTATCAGCGGAAATCAGTTGGCCAACCTACGTTAGGTCTAGCCCGACAAAGAGTGTTAGCAGCAGAATGTATTGCGGATACCGGCTACGGTAGCGAGATCCAACACGCCCGGTACGCTAATCTTATTCGATACTTGTGTTGGGAAAGTACTCGTACTAACCCTCCCCGGGGACTTTAGTCTCTAAACCCTTGATTACAGGGCTGGAGGAGATACCGGTACTCGAGTAGTGGGTCTCGAGGGAGTTTTCTTTTCTTTTCGTCCCATGCCACAGGGTTTAGCTCGCTCTAAAAGGTGTTAATAGATTCCTTCTGCGTGTCCGCGGGGGGTTTTTCCGGCTGGGCTGGGGTTTTTCTCCTTTAGGCGGGGATTCTTGGATGCGGGTGCTCTCGTAGCGCCGGGGATGTCGGGTGGGGCAGAAATGAGACGATACCAATCAAAGTCAACCTTCAGCTAGCAGCCAGGCAAGTAACAACAGTGACCGAAAGTACCGGTACTCGTACAAGTATCATAAAAAAAGCATGCCTAAGGAATTGCCTTTCACACTCAGACAGTACAGAAGAGGGAGGGATTTTCAGAATTAAAAAGGGTTGAAACCCCGATATTCCCCCGGCTTACGTTACTGTTTTATGTAAACTCGGGGCGCACGAGAAGGGTTGAATCACCATCACTTCGCTTTAGCTTACAATACAATGCCTACGTAAACTGTCCCTTCGGGTAGGCGGGCTGGAGGGTCTGTACCACCAGCAGGAGAGAACTTTTACTGGAACTCAGACTTTCGATTGAACTATCCGTGGGCCAAACGAAAATACAGTACAGGAGAATCGAGGGAAAATACAAAGATACCCCTCTCCCCGCTACCTCCTATACCTGCAAGACACTAAAAGTTTAGTGCAGCCCCCGTTCGTTTCTGAGTCATACTCGAGCAGATTATTAAGGAACTTAGCCTTCAGGCTCCGTATCGGTACATCAGTCGAATAACACATTCTGACATCAAGGAAACTACCCGCATCCGCTCATTGATTATCGGCATAGTCGTGGGCAAAAAGCACGATCTCTGATGCTTCATTAGTTACCAGGGCGGCCTGAAGCTTAACCTGCACATCTGCGAAATTTTGGCTACTGATGAAAGGTTGGGTACCGAACCCCCTCCCGAACATTGACTGTGGTGGCACCAAAATTTCAGTGTAGGGGATAAAATATCATACTTGTAAGCTTCCACCGTCCCCGCCCAAACCCATGCGGCCTTTGGCCATTGCCGGTGAATCGCGAGAGTCTTTGGTATCTATAACATCTGTTATAGCCTGCACTCATTACCTCAAAGGACCCTGGTCCACTCAAATACAGTACTGTGCATGCATCCAAAAGCCCAAGACAGAGCCGGTGAATAGCCAATCCAGGTTAACCCGCAAACTAAGCCCAATGCTGTGGGAGAACATTTCTCCTGGCACTCGAATATTATCTGAGACATAGAGATAATATTGCCCTGCATCATGAAGTAAACTAATGCGAACCCCAAAGCTAAACTGGATGCTGAAAAGTGGTGCAAAATCATATTCTCTAAGTCTGAACACCCCTGCTGAGTGAGTTATCATATCATATCATACCCTGGAAAGAGCTAGGGATCACCGCACTTGGATTGAAATTGTGCGGCCGAGATGGCAATCCTGTGCCCCAGCGTGATCCACGTGGAGAGCTCTGCGGCTCATGGCCCCGGGATGCCAGACTAAACCCCACCAAGCATGCTCTAGCACAATTCGACCCAGGTTCCCCGCCCGAGATAAGTCCGATAAGAGCTAATTATTTGCGTGTAACACAAGCAACCTCTCGATTCGGGACAAGAAATGCAGTGGCGTTACCACAAGCGAGGCTGCATCCCCCACTTGATCATTGGCCCTCCTTGGCCTTCCTTTCTTCCCCCGCTTGTCCGCTTGTGTGATGCAACTGGTCAAGCCCATCCATTTCCATCCCGAGAGAGACAAGCTACCTTAGCCGACCATAGTGCGCTATTGCTGTCTCCGTGCCGTGATTGCGATTGTGGCTTTGGCTTGGGGTGTTTGCTCTCGTAGTCAACATATAAAGACATCACCTCCAGCTCCTCGTCCACTTTTCTTCCCTTCTCTCCCCTTCTCTCTCCTCCCCCTCGACCCCTCTCCGGCTTCATCTGCACGTCTGCCCCTTTGTCTGTTTTTTCCTGATACCGTTTTAGCTCTAAGCGTTTGGATCCGTTCCCTCGACCCCCCGTTTCTAACCAACTAGACATGAACTCAATTCTTGGCGAGAGGGCGACCGAAGGGGAAATGGTCCGCAGTGTCCTTATATTCTCCCGACACGGAGACCGCACACCCAAAAATCTCGGAACCACTAGATTGACGACATTGGGCAAGAACCAGATCTATGCTTCCGGAGAGTTCTACCGCACTCGGTACCTGGATTCCAATTCTACTCACTTCATCAAGGGAATCAGCGGGAGGAGGTATGTCGAGAAGGAAATGTTTGCTTCTACTCCGGACCAGGTACTACCCGCTTTTGCCGTGACGCCCACCGAAGCATTGCCATAAGCTAACGAGAATTGATTGAACAGCAACTACTCGTCCAGTCCAGTCAGGTCTTCCTACAAGCACTCTACCCCCCCCAAACCGTTACCGAGACCCTCGCGGACGGAACATCAGTCAGCTCCCCCGACAACGGCCAACAATTTCCCATCTTGCACTCGGTTAGCAGTAACTCCCCCGACGCAATTTGGCTAAAGGGCGACGACGGTTGCCCACGACACGACCAAAGCTTCGAACAGTTCTACGCCTCGCAGCAATTCAAAGACCTGGCCGTCTCTACAAAGTCGTTTTATGAATCCTTTACGGATGTGCTCCAGGGACTGTTCCCACCGGACAAAATCGGCTATATTAGTGCCTATCCCATCTTCGACTACCTGAACGTTGGCAAGATCTACAACTCTACCATTGCGAAACGCGTTTCCAACGAGGACCTAGACAGACTCCGATACCTTGCAGACTCCACTGAATGGGCAATGAACGCGAACATCACTACACCAACGATGCCAAACCCAATCTCCATCTCTGGATCCACCCTTGCCAGGGCTATCCTCACACAGCTAAACCCACCCGCAACCACGACAAACAGCACTGTGAAGCTCTCGGTGCTTTTCGGATCATACGACACCTTCCTCTCCTTTTTCGCTTTGACCTCTCTTCCGTCCACCAGTCCCTCGTTCTATGGGCTACCAGTGTATGCTTCTACCATAGTCTTCGAGCTCGTCTCCTACCCATCCGACTCGAACATGTACGTCCGCTTCCTCTTCCGCAACGGAACCAACCCGGACTCTCCCCTTACTGAGTACCCGCTCTTTGGCCGGGGGGGGGAGAGTGCACTCATGCCTTATAAAGAATTCTATGGATCCATGGATAAAATAGCCATAAAAAACTTGGACCAATGGTGCAAGGTGTGCGATTCTCAAGAGGATGTATGCCAAGCGAGGGACATGCCCATCGACGTCCAGCCGGCGGCGGTGCACCCGGGCATGAAACCGGAACTTGCAGGCGGCATTGGTGCGATCTGCGCGCTCGCTGCAGTCGGAATTATTGTAGCCGCGTTGATGGTGATTCTGGGCTTTAGGTTCACCAAGAAGGAGAGGAAAGCCGACGAGGCGAAGAGCTGTACCAGCGCTGAAGAGAGTGTGGATGTTAAAGCTTAACCGCATCTCTATTCCAGTTTTATGGATGCAAGTATTTATGCCTCTTGTGAGCGATGGCACGTATGAGGTCGTCTGGTTGGTTACCTAGGGTTGTAGTTATATTCTGATCACGTTGTTTCATGTCTTTAGCTGGCCTTGTTGAATTCCTTTGGCGAGAAAATTAATTGAACTTCTCGGAGCTGATAACCAATGTCAACGCACCCCAGCCCGTCCATATGCATCTATAGCATCATAGCGGTAATCCTGGTGACCAGTATGATGACTGTTTTCCCAGGGGATTCCAGTGATTTTTGATGAAGGCCAGACGTTTTAGTTCAGCCTTGGCTAGCGGACGGGGGCTACGAGCGGGAACGGCAGATGTGGGAAATCGGAAGTGGGGGTGGGGGGAGGCAGTAAATTTACACTACTCGAGTACTCGAATACCAAAAAGACGGTATAGGCTCTGAAGGTTTCCTAACTCTTCAGAACTACTGGTAATTTACAGTACTGTACAAGCATAGGACTATTGCTTTCAGCAGAATCCCAGAACAGGTGAACCTGCACGCAGCACGAGTCCTCTCCACCACCGCATCCGCTGATACTGTACAGTCTTGCACCAAGCGCACTTGAGCACTCGTAGAATAATAGCATCCCACCGGGGAATTCGATTATTTCACCAAAATTTATGACTCTGGGATCGCACGGCTCGAGCCCATACAAAATTACCGTATAATTCATCATACTCTCTCTTTCTCTCTCTCTCTCTCTCTCTCTCTCTCCACGAGTACCGTTCTGTATCATACCCGCTCTTCCGGTGGCCAACACTCGCTACCGTACCACACCACACAGCAGCCACGCTCCATATCATACTTCCATCCCCCATCCGACACCCCCCTCAACCGAACCTCATCAAAAGCGCGTCGCGCCGAGGCTAGTCTACAAATTCGGAGCTCGTTAAAGTATCATAATTATGCTATCGTGCGGTACGTACGATATCATCCTTGTACCGTCCCGTTAACAGCCGTACTGTAACGTTCCAACAACGGCTATCGCGGCTCTTTGGGTCGGGGGTTGTGCCGTAACCGTGCCAAGGTTCCCGTCACTTCGAAAGACGCTAAGCAACCTTCGAAGAATGACGGCACTCCTACGGAGTGCCTAACAGCTCAACGAAAATAACAGCTCAACGAAAACATCCTCCAAGAATCAGGTATTGTGATCTCTATTTCTCCTCCTCCCCAACCACCAATCCAGCTATGTCTTCAAACCAATATCCAGAGATTGAAAAACGAATTCAAGATGCAATCGAAAGGCTAAATGAGGAAAATAGGCCTAATGTGGTTGCGGTCGCCCGTGAGTTTGAGGTGCCATGGCAGCGTCTTTGTGCACGATGGAAGGGCCGTCCATCTCGCCAGGAGAGGCCAGTACCGAATCGGAAATTGTCAGAGGAGCAGGAGTTAGCTCTTTGCATCAGCAAAAATTTACTCTTGCGTCCTGTGCGTCCTGTACGTCTGACGCACAGGACGCACAGGACGCAAACTGTTAATCAGGACGTCGGCTAAATCCGTTCTTGCGTCCTGACGTTCGCATCCGCACCCTCCTGCATCCTGACGCTCACCAGACGCGCGGCACTCCAACCCCCCTGCGTTGTGACCCTTGCTAGCTCGGTTCCGGGCGTCCTGGCAATCCATGCCCTTTCCCCCCTAGCGTCCCGACGCCCCTACTACTCCTGCCTGGCGTCCTCACGCCCTTACTACTCCCGGCCGCCGTCCAGACACCTCTGGACCTCCTGCCCGCCGTCCT